ACTTGCGACCGCCACACTTTCAAAACCAGCACACTGTGAGAGTGTTTCCATGGCTGGATTTTTGGCTTGGGCACTGAGAGAGTGTTTTTGCCGCAAGGTTTTTGGTTTAGACAGCTTGGATTTGGCACTGTGAGAGTGCTTATCGTACTGTGAAAGCATTGCCTCCATGGACTTCAGCATGGACCCGAGCATGAAGCAAGGGAAAGCCAGGCAGAAGTTCTTGTCGGAACACCTACCTGGCGTGCGCACTGCTTTGGATGCCAAGTCCGAAATGCAGGAACAACAGAGCAACTACTACTGGCCCCACCTTTTGGCGTCGGCTGCAGCTGTTTGGGACTGGTTTGCTCCTGCATGGCTTTCCAAGCCAAAGGGAATGCGTTCGTGAATGCTTGGTTGAGAATACATATGGAAACACCTGGGCCAAGTACCACTATGTCAGTCACTATGTTTTTGAATCTTGATTTTCTTGGTAGCGTGCCGCCGCTGGCTGGCTGACCAGATTCTGGTGTTTTGCCTTCCATGTTGATATTGAATTGCCCGCCCAGGTTGGGATGCATTGATTTGCTTTTCCTTTTTTGAACTACCAAATTGCTGCAAGGCCCATGTTGCGTTAGTGGTTACAATCTTGATGTCTCTTGCTTACTTAGTGGATGATGCTGATTCTGATGATCATGCATCTTGCTTCTGGTATCGAGCAGGTCCATCTTGAGCCGGCAATGCAAGCCAGAATTGTGAGCCACATATCACTGGTGCAAGATGTAAATGACAAGATGTAACATCACACCCCAAGCTTTAGCCCAGTGATCAAAAACTCATCCAAAAAATGCGTGCCACTGTGAGAGTGGGAAAAAGACTGTTATGATTTGGTGTCCACTCCTGGATGCGATGGCCGCCAACCTATTAACAATGGCCTCCAACGTGCTAGTGATGGCCTCCACAGCCCTCCGCCAGGCCCTCCGACACTGATGCTGGTGGCAGATTCCGGGCGCCCCAGAACCTGAGAAGCCAACGAGTTGCCCAGCTTTGGAATTGCTCACTCTCACAGTTGTTCGCAATATAGGTTTTTTTTGTATTGGTAACTGGTAAGGCTTACAGTTTCCAAAAGGACAAGTTGATCACACCAATCATTTGCATCTATGGCCGAAGAATTGTTTTGAGAGACGTTGCGTGGACCAGCTCATGAGTAGTTTCGGGTATGGTTCCTCGTGAACACGCAGCTGAAAAATATTGGACTAGATAGGGTTTAGCGTTTGGCAAAACTAAACCAAACTACCTTTGGGTGAGTTTCACTGCATCCCACTTGATACACAAAAAAAGGACTGGTTGATCACACAAATCAGTTGCACTTATGGCCGAGGAATTATTTTGAGAGACGTTGCATTGACCAACTCTTGAATAGTTTCTGGTATGGTTCCTGATGAACACGCAGCTGAGAAAAGATTGGACTAGATCGGATTTAGCATTGGTTGACACCAAACTCCCATCGGATGAGTATCACTGCATCCCATTTGATACACTACATAAACTCAGAAAGGCATTCTGACAAAGGACTCCCAACGGTTGTTCTTGAAGACGGTGAAGGGCCCGCACTCTCACAGTGCTCTGACAGCAGCGCTCTCATAGTGCTGCTCAGGAATGGCGCTCTCACAGTGCATACAGTGTCCAACTATAGGCCCAGACCATGACAGTGAAGTGGATGGTGTGGTTCCTGAGAATTGCGCGAGTTGTCCAGTATTGGAATTGTTCACTCTCACAGTGAGCAGTGGATAGCAAAATTTGTTTATCTTCTTGCGTTGGTAAATAAGGCTTACCAACCCATGTCAGTAACACAGCGATCCTTAAAGTGCCAACGAAGCAAAACTCCCATCGGGTGAGTTTCACAGCATCCCATTTGATACAACACAAACTCAGGCATTCTGACCATTGGGCTCCGAACAGTTGTTCTTGAAGACGGTGAGGGACCCGCCCGCACTCTCACAGTGCTCTGACAGCAGCACTCTCACAGTGCTGCTTGTCAGTCCTGGCCTCAGGAATGGCACTCTCACAGTGCATTTTGATATTCTGCAGTCTGACACTCTCACAGTGTCAAACTGCAATGATAGGCCCAGACCGTGACAGTGAAGTGGATGAGGCGATTCCTGAGAGCTGCGAAGAACAGTAAACAAACTGGACCAATGCCCAATCTAACTGCTTAAACATCACATGTGTTCATATGTGCCTGTACCTTACCAGATTCATATGGTTGGCGGCGTGGGTTGACTGCAGGCAAAAATCTTCTTCTGAGTACAGTTGGCTACATACCGATGAGTCAAAACACTTGTGATTCAAAACACACCCGGCCACCCTCTGCAAACATCGGCAATTAAGTTCTAGGCGTGAGCGCTCTCACAGGCCATGGCAACCAAAATATCACGCGGCATAATGATCTGAAAGGCCTAGCGCTCTCACAGCGTCTTATGATTTTTTAGCATACATGGGTTGGTAAAAGCCAAGTGAAATATTGACCTAGGTCATCTCAATGCTTTTGAACGCTTGCACTCCAAATCACACCTTCACAGTGCCTTTTAACTGGCGGCTGAAAACTCATGAAACATCACATCCAAGTATCTATTTGATGGTTTTCTAATTTGGCCAAACAACACCCCAGATCGATATGTACCAGCACTCTCACAGTGCATTCGTGATCATGTGTTTGAGCCAGCTCTTGGACCAAGCATCAAACAAATTGAACTTTGTGAGATCTCTCTCTCTCTCCTGGCACTCTCACAGTGCATTTGGGCATCTTCTGTTTCTGAAAGATCTTCTGTTTCTGAAAGATGACATCCTATGAAACATGTAGTGGCTGAATTTCCAAATCTATTGTTTTGGAAGCTTACCTGGTTCAAAAGTAACTGTAACAGTATCAAGTTGCTTTGGTTTGGTGACTTTTGGCTTTTGTACTTTGGTTTTGGAATGTAAGTTTTTGTTTTTTGCAGTTTTTCCAAAGTACTTTTATAAAAACACAAGGCACTTTTACAATAACAAAGTTTTTGGTGTGAGACGTGAGCTGAACAAAAGTGACTGGCCCCCATGGCATCAAAGCAAGGTGAGTTTCCAGAAAGTGCCGCAAGGGTACTTCTTGAAGAGCTTACTTGGTACACGGTACGTATACGTAGTAGACATCATGAACCACCACAGACCATCCATCTGTGGAAGAGTTACCTAAATCGAAGTCCATAGCTACCTGCATAAAGACCATCATTACAGACCATTTTCGCGGGGTAAATGTATGTAACTATTCCATACCAGAACCCTCTGACAGGTCACCAATTAAGACCAGGACATGGCCTCAACCCTCAAAAAGACAGACCTGGCAGTGAGGCTGCTGGTTGCGGAGGAGGCAGCCCGGGAGGTCCCAGAGGAGAAGAAGGACGACTCAGCAAAGAAAAAGAAAAAGAAGAAGAAGAAGAAGGCAAAAGAGCGCATGATCCCCGTCAAGCGCTTGAACGCCCTATTTGGAACAACAGGCCTCGATCCCAGAGAGGAGATACGACGAAAGTTGCGACGGAAGGCCAGGAGGCTCGGCCGCCGGACTCGCAACAAGAAGAGCTCGTCAGAGAGCAACTCGAGCAGCTCTTCGAGCGGGAGCTCAACAGAGGAGGATGGCCGCACGAGGAGCTGTTCACGCCAGTCTCGGCGCCCCAGCGTATCTGGAGGAGATATCCAGGAGTTCTTACATCATGCATGATACTCGAGGCACAAAAGGTAATGATGTTACAACTGGGTGCAGGACTTCACGAAGCCGAGGGCCAGACCTTGCGGCCATTGGTCAGCCAATACTGCAGACAACATTTGATGGCAGGTATGGCGCCACCTGTGGCCCGCGAAGCGTTGCATTGGTCAGCTGTGCTCGACCTGATGTTAGAGGGTCGAGTCGCCAGTGCCATGGATTGAGTTTGGACATCATGTTTCCTATGGACCCACAAAGATCCACATACATTCCCAGAAGGTATTTGGGCCCTCCAAGCCTACATAAATAGTCTCCAATCACCTTCTCAAAAGGTATGTGGATCCTTAGGGGTTGGGAAGAAATATGTTCAGCGCAGTTCTACAGCCTGTAGGGATCCAGTCGTACCGAACCTCAGGTTTGGCAAGGAAGGAGACACATCTTGACGTAGGTGGTCTAGGGTCGGGTCCAGTCGTACCGAACCTGAAGTACTGTACGAAAACGGATCCTTTTTGGGGGAGCGCAGTCGCTGCCATGCGCTATCCAAAATTTATAGCTTCCTTCGGTGAGACAGCCATTTCCAAGCGCGGAAGGTCATATGACCTCGCCTCAAACAGGCTGCCAACTTGGGAACTATTCCAACCAATTTGTACATGAAGAACAAGGGGCTGGACCACCATTGCCGCAATTTGTTTGAGGTAGTTATACTGTTATCAAAGGAAGTTTAGTGTGCAAAACTTCCGTGTTACGGACATTCAACAGCTGTTCAACCACCACTCATCATACACCACTCATCATACACCACTCATCATACCACCACTCATCATACACCACTCATCAAACCACCACTCATCAAACCACCACTCATCATACACCACTCATCAGATTTCGTGGCAGGTGCAGCAATTTGTGAACCTCCATGTGCAGATTTCGTGGCAGGTGCAATACAAAATGCGTTTTCGAGAGAT